GGGAGGGGGGGGTGGGGAAGTCGGTGGCAGGCACTGGGGAAGCCGAGCCGCCGAGCCCGAGCCCGGCGCCCTGTGTTGTGCTCCGCGCTCCGGGAAATGCCATCACTAATTTATGCGCTAAAAGGAGCCGGAGCAGGAGAGGCGCGGGCCGAGCCGGGGAGGCCGGCGGAGGGAGGGCGGGCGCAGGCACTGGCTGATGTGCAGCAGAAAATGGCTCCTTTCCCCTTTCCCTCCACCGAACGGCTCCATATTGCAAAACCAAAAAAAAAAAAAAAAAAAACGACGAAAATGCAATTGTGTGCCTCCTCCCTCCTGGTGGTGCAGGGAGAGGGGGGAAGGCAGCAAATGCTGGGCGCTGCCGCTGCAGAGCTTTCGGTGGCGAATTCTTTTTTTAATTTAAAATGCGAAGGCACCGGATGGAGCCTGACGCGCAGGCACGCACACACACACATACACACACACACACACACTCAGAGGCAGATTTTTGTGTTGCTGAGTATTTGGGGGGGGGTGCTTGCCCGTGACAGCGGGCTCCAGGGCCCCGAGGGGGTGTGGGGGGCCGCTGGGCGGACGGTGATAGGATTAGGGGTCAAAAGCCCGAAGTCCTCGCGGGGCCGGGGCTGGGGAGGCGGCAGGGGACGGCGACTTGGCATTTGGGCTGCTTTGCACGCAGGGCTCCTGGTGAGCAGAGTGGCTTTGGAACATGTCGCAGTGACATGCTTAAAATTCCTGACAACTGCTCAATAAACGGCTAGTTTCATTTTCCTCACCCCTCCCCTTCCTGCCCCTGCGTGTTTATTTTGACTTGGGGGGGGGGAGTATCAGGGGCCGCGTCAGGCCTGCAGAAATCCACGCTCCAGCCCACGTCCACAGCTAAGCAGCTTTGGGTGCATGAAGACAGAGCAGGGCCTTATGTCATTCCCACCTGGAGGCCGCGGCGCTGGCTCGGTTTTTTTTTTTTTTCTTTACGCCATGTCCCCTCCCTTTTCCCTTGCAAGATATAACACGTGGGAGCCCGAGGAGAACATCCTGGACCCCCGGCTGCTGATTGCCTTCCAGAACAGGTGAGCGGCCCCCAGCAGCCACCCGCAGCGGGCCGGCCAGGTGTGGGAACTGGAGAGCG